GGTCGCCATTTTGGGATATACGCACTATATTTACCCACATACATTCTTGTTTTGTTTGGATAAAAAGTTGCTTAAATCGTTTAGATCTCGCTTTACCGACTGTGGTAATTCAGAATAGACAACCTTAGCTGACTCTAGCTAACTGGTGGCGGGCCTAGAGATCCCGTCAGCGGGAGCGACAGACTGAAAAATGACTGAACCCTGATCTCAGCTCTCGGTTCGGGAGCTAATACTAGCTAACGCTAGCTAGCAGCGGTCAGCAGATAACATAAACCCTGCAGATGAATCAGTTTCTGTCCTGTCTGTGCTCAAACTAAACAGTAAAGTGGACGTTTGGACGTGGCTGAAGCATCGGTTACTGTATATAGCTGTATGGGAAGGTATTTATTTAATTTAATTAGCATATAGATGTATGTAGTGTATATCTCTATGATGGATAATGAGCGTTATCTTCCAAAATGGCGCATTCAACCAGAATTCAACATGACGTGTCAACAATTTGACATGATCTCTATCTTGTTCCTTTCGTGGTATTAGCTGACAGTGAACATTCGTAGAATAGCACCAGTGTGATGATTCGCTGTGGCGACCCCTAAACTGGAAAAGCCGAAAGTGACTTTCTTAAGGTCTGGATCTTATTATGTAAAATGCCCTGAGATGACTTGTAATTTGGAGCTATACAAATAAAATGGAATTGAATTGGAAATTAACATTAGTGTCAGTCAGACATCTTTATCAGAGGGAGTAGGTTAGTTTTAGGATGAATGTTGGCTAAACAATCACTGTGTTAATGTTGGAGCCCTGTGCTTTTAAACCACCTGCTGGAGTTTTCAGATATCACAGATTCATTAACTTCTAGCAAAACTTGTTTTATGGTGTTTTATCATTGTATTGTTTTGTATGAGCCAGATGAGCCTTTAATACCTTATTATTAAATGCAAACATGCAGGACAAAATGATACAATATCTTTACTTTTTAAACTTTTTACTGAGAAATCTGCCAAGATCAGGGGCCACGTGTAACACTGCTTGCGTGTGAATGGGTTCAGTTCTCTCTTCCCTCAGAGCCAAACCTCTGGATCAGACATCTGGACACTTTCACAGAAAAGTGTCAGAGCTTCCAAGCAATCATACTGTGTTACAGGTTTTGTTGATGTTCCTTGGAAATGGACAACTGTCTGAGTAATCTCATACCACTCTGTTTATGATGAGTGAGAGCTGTGTCATTGTTGGAGAGGATCATCTATTTGAACACATGGTTGCTGTTAATATGATCATGATTAGTCTTTGAGAGTCACTGTTCTTTAGTCTGATCTCTGGAAATGGCTCCAGTGTCCTCGTCTTGTACCAATTTAAGCCAATTATCCCCCAATCCCTTTCCCACTGTCCTCGCTATGAGTCACATGTTTGTCCATGATTCTCTCACCAGATTTAGGCAGATGCTGCCTTAATTATTATAAACAGATCATTGTGGTGTTCAGCGTGAATGAGGTTTAAAGAGGAGATGGGCCTGGGTTTTGTTTAAATACAAGGTTTATTTGGAGGGCTTATGAGGGAGATGACTGAGCAGAGCGGGACGAATGGGGAGGTGGGTTTTGGTTCTGTTTGGATACCAGTGGTTTTAGTGAGATTATCCTGCTCCCATGTGAGTGTTGTTCTGCTTGAGAGCAGGAGGCGTCTGGACGGCACATGTAGTTTCTACTTGAGAAAATTATCCCCCTCAGTTGAGACAGTGCAAACTGAGACATGATAGGAAATCTTTCCAAAATGTGCAGGTCATTGGTCATGATTCTCCCAAGGCAGTGTCCCACACAGATTCTTGTTCCCCAGTGATGTCCAGCTCTATAAATATTTGATTCACTTACTTTGCTCGCTGCTCAGATGATATATCCCTGTCACATTACTCTGTATCTGTGGTAGGAAATGAGCAGCCTGGTAATTAATGCTGTGCACTGTGGATTGTCAAAGGGGTCACTGCCTGTAGGTAAGGGAGTGTTTATAGGAACGCTTCACTGCTGCTCCTGTGGATGTCTTGACATATTTATAGAAGCATGCAATGAAAAGACAAGCTTGTACTTGTAGCAAGTGATAATATACAGTGACATATCTCAACATCTCTCAGATGAATTTGACATCCAGACTCATGATGAATTCTGATGGCCCTGATTTGTCCAACTTTACCCTTCAGCCTCAGCTGTACTTTGGGATTTGTGCTAATTAGCAAATGCTAGCATGCTACCACGCTTCGCTAAGATAGACGGTACCTTATAGACGTCAGCATCTTTTTGAGTATCCAGCTCAAAGCGTATAGACCTGCCGGCTTGTCTGGAAAATGTCTTTGTCAGCAAATATTATCTAATAAAGCACAAACAAGGAGACTATGAACCACTGGTGGTCTCTGCATATATTACAGCCAGCATCCTGTTGTGAGATGAAATTACACAAAATTACCTTTTGTTTTTCCTTTGCGAGTTAGTGTAGATAGGTAGTGTCTAATCTGAGGTTTGCAGAGTCATTTAGAGGCGCTGCTGGATAAGTGACATGGATAAGTGGTGCCAGAACCTTTACAGGTCTCTGCTACAGAAAGCCATAAAGCCCTGTGATCCTACGAGGAGCAATGAACCTGATCTCAAACCTGTGAGAGGTTTGCAAGTTGTGACTTGGGTATTTCCTCAGGAACCTGGCAGGGAGTTTGAGGGTGGCCCAATTTTGGTATTTGTACTTTTACACATTTCTGTAAATAGAATCGAACATGGAAGACATTCATGCACCACAGGTTTCCCAAAGGTTTTCAGAAAATGGTGTCTCTTTTTTGCATCACATATTTCATTACTTTCACATATTTGAAATCATTTTGTGAAACTTCACCTCTTCAGAAATACAGAAACCATTTTTTCACACCTTCCACAGACACAACACATTGTTCAGTATGATGACTTGGCAGCCAAATGCTGCTATAATCCCACGTTAGTCCAGCAGCATACAAAGGGCTAAAGCGAGGGAAACAAGACCAAAGCACCCCTCAAACACACACAAACGTCCACCTACGCACTTGCATACATGCACATTAGTCACACACCACAAAACCAGACTAAATACGGTGTCACTGCTAGTGAGCACAGAGAGAGATACTGGAGTGAAACGTCTGATCGTAGACACACCGGTGAAGTGAAAAGGCTGAGAGCAATGTGAACCAGGCCACTGGCAGAAAACAAAGGGAGGGTTTGTGTTTGCAGACCTCCAGCTTTGTCTATGTGCCAGTAAACTAAAAAGGAAGAGTAAGGGGTGAAATATTTACACTGAGACCCACACACAGCTCTTCTTACTGTAGCGATGTCCTTACAGAGCCCACAATGCTTTGACTTTCTGGTCACCACATGATGGGATGTAGAGGAAAAAGTAGAAAGCCGCGAGTCAGCAGTATCCCAGATGTAAAGTCACAGGTTGGCCAAGTTCTTAGTGATGATCAAGAAATGCAGTGATACATGCATACAGACCAGATGTTTTATTTCATGAATTCTGGTTTTAAAGCTAAGAGCATGGCTTGAATTGAAAGTGAAGTTGTAGTTGCGTTCCTTTTTCTTCCCAGTACCATTTAAAGGTTCCCCATTGATTGTTGGAGATGCAGCTTATGAAATGTGCTTTATGTAAGAGCTGATGGGTATCAGTGCTTTTTGCACGTTTCAGAGGCCACAGTAATCACCAGAACTGACAGAGCCCTTCTGAGTGTTTCTGGGTGGAGCAGCTGTTTAGTTTGCACACCACAGAACTTCACACTAAGGCCTGCACTTGTGTTCTCACTTACTCTGATAAAAATGTGTGAATTTCTTCATGCCTGCAGCGCTCAGGGCACCCGGAACATGAACACAACACTGGTAAAGCTGCTAGCATTCTGAGGTACTGCCGTTGAAGTGGCAGACTTTTATCTTTTTTTTTTTACAAAACAGTTTCCTACTGTAAATACGGAACCATGTCATATAAGGTATTAACAATGGGGGTAAAGAAAATTGATGCCTTTGTTTTGGTGCTCACTGTGTGAACATGAGCTCAGACAAACCAATATGAATTTTAAACTGTCAAAACTTTTTAAAAAGTGGGAAATACTCACTAAACACTTTGCGTTATCAAATCATAGTGTTTTATTTCCTCAATGCTTATCGTGTTCAAGCTTTTTCCCATGAAAACCCATTTCCTGCAGGTGAGAGTAGGCTACTAAATGTGCACCATGTTCTCAACTTAGCTGCTCTGTCTACAAAGCTAATTCTGTCACTGGTATTGTTTTACAGGTAATACATCTACTTACAATGTCTGAAAGAAGTATTATGTTTCAGATTAAGTAACACAGACTGGTCGACAATACCTCACTTCAGCTCTCAAAGAATATACAAATCAGATTGTTTTCAGCCAGTTTAGAAATGGGTAATAAAGCAATGAGCTAAGATAAACTAAGATGGCTAACCTTGCAGTTAAAAACAACTGAGAGAATGCAACCAAAGGTAACACATAGCAAAGCATAATGGACTAAAATATTATCCTGCATCCTTCTGTCTTCATTTCTTCAATCAGTGTAATTAATATTCTGCACAAAAACTGCTAACTGACTAGCTCCTTTTGTGTAGCCTGCTAAAACTTATCAGCAGTCTCTCGGAATCAAAGAATTGGCCAGAAGTTCTACTTTTAAGTTCATGAAAATTTGTTTGAGCTGTTCTATACAACTGAATGTTCTTAAAGCCACTTGATTATAGGTTTATTTCAACTGAATGTGTTTTGGGTGATATTCACTGCTACAGCGGTTGTTAGTGTTTCTGGGGTCCACGTGTTCAAAAATACACAATGGAGGAATTACAATGTCAAAGGTGCACCTTTAGCAGAAGATAATGGTGGTCCAGATACTGTAAATAAATACTTATTTCCAATAGACAAAGAAGCACTCACTTCCTTAACAATCACAAATACTGTAAAAATGCAGACATCTCTTTTTCCTGTCTCGTCATTTTCAGAGCCAGAACCTCCAGTGTTCATGGCATGGATGAATTCCAGCGTCAAGGTTACGAGGGAGCCTTTCCTGGCCCTACGTGCCTGTCTCCTGAAGGAATGGAGATGTAAACAGCGTCATGCTGCTCCAGTCAGAGGTGGGTGGGGGTGTTTTTTTCCCATGACTTCACTGTTTTCATTTGTCACTGAGCTGTTTTGAAAGGTTGTCCACATTTGTACAAGTGCATCACAGAGGGAAATGTACTTGTTGACTATACATAGTATGTGGATGATTACTGGATATCTTAATGTGCTGTTTACAATATGTAGTATGCAGAAGGCATGAAACTAGCTGGCAGCAAAGTGCTGTATATCATTTCTTCTTTTAATGCAAGTATTCCAGTGTGTGGCTACTATGGCTGCCACCAGCCTCACATTTGTTTGCTTTACAGTAAATATCTTGGCATCCACCACAATCATTTGTGGTTTGCTTTTTTTACATGAATATAAAGGCCAAATTGGTACCTGCGACCTCCGCAAAGCAGAAGCCCACCACGGACTCTGTTCTCCCCGAGACCCCTCGTATGGATGTACTGGAGCGCTTGGCCGTGCCGGAAAGCAGCAGCAGCAGCAGCAGCAGCAGCAGATGGGTAAGGCTGGTTAACCACATAGAGGTTCTCACTTTGCTTAACATTACAGTAAAACAGGACACAAAAATAACCATTCTTCACAGAGGACTCGGCTTTAACCTTCTCCACCCGTGCCTCATGTTCCTTCTTCTACTTTGCTGTTTGGTCTCAGCTCAATTATGACTGAAAACCCTGCTCAGGCTTTGACATTGTCCACTGGGATTTTTACAGGTCTGCATGAAAGATGAGATGAAAAATGAAAGGAAGTGGCAGCAGTTGCAGTGCATTTTCACAGGAAGTCATTATTTACTAGTTTCGCTATGTCTGTGAAGCGCTGGAATGGCGTGGGTGTGTGTTGACCCACAAGATTGTAGTGCTGATACATTTGATCCCAAAAATCCCCTCATTACGGGAGCTGGCATCCAGAAGAGTGAGGGCCTTTCTGTTCTTTTTCATGACAACATGTGAATGTTTGACCTTCTACAAAGATGACTGGGTTCAGATCTCAGAGAGAGTAAACACACGAGTCAGAGGTTTAACCCCCAGATCTTCTTAAACAATGTTAAAAGTTCCCCATCCCTAATTCATGTTTGCTGTTTGGCCCAGAGTCTCTCGAACAGCAATTACCACTGCATTGTTACAAAGAGCGACATGCCTCATGTGTCGACTCTAGACAAAGAGGGTGAGCTATCTAAATTACTGGCAGATTCCTTGTATAGCAGAGTGAGATTCCTGAGCCCATTGTTTGGAGGACAGTCCAAGGTCTTGATGAGGGCTCTGGGAGCAGATAAAATACCTAAAGAAGGATGTGCGTTTGCTCATTATTGAAAGCAGTTCAGGAAACACATGGCCTCGCTGACCACCGATGAGTCCTCTTCATTTCCTCTGATTGCACAGGAAGCAGGGCAGGTACATACAGTGAACTGCCCTCAGTCCCAGCAGTAAATGAAACTGTGATGAAGAGTGTGCATTTGTCACAACAAAAATGAGATTAAAATAAAACAAAAAGTAGGATTAGAAAATCAGAATATGATGAAGTTGTGACTAATTCAAAGTCTTAATTCAGTGACCTGCAGCATTTGTGGGCTCAGAGCTCCTGATCACTGAAACTAAATCAAATCTCTCCTGTTCATTTGGCTGCTTGCCCTGCTGTGCTGCCGTTAATAAGGCACATTTTGCATTTGGTAACATTCCGTCTCTGCCGTCTGACGTTAGTGCTTCTCGGAAGAAGCAGGTTTATGAACTAAACTCATTAGACAAGAAGAAACAAAAGAATGAAATACAGCCGTGCCACGAGTACACAAAACTTCAAAATTTGTGAGAAGTGTTCAGTAAACAGACTCGGAGTTTGGTTATATTTGTAGAAGCCACATACCCAGCTAGTGTAAACAGCTTGTAAATCTTCAGCCAGGGTCGATAGGAGCAAGAAGAGTTTTTGAAAAGCCCATAAAGAGTCAGCACACCAGTTTATTTTCAATTTGTGTCGAAACAACAAATGACAGTGTGACTGGGACACTGGTTATGACGCAGTCCAGCTCTGACAAGTCAGCTCAGGAACAGCTGAACAGGCTTTGTTACCACAGAGCAAGAAGACATTTTTACTGTCAGAGAAAATGAGCTCCAGAAAAATGAAACATGGTATTCCTTCACCTACTGCTGTATTTCCTGTACTATTTCTGTCACTGCTCACTGTCTCATCCCCTAAAGGTCAGTGTGCTTGACAGTTATACAGCCTGAGCCGGTCCAAAACCTGTTTGGTCGGTAACAGCTGGCGGTTTCCAGAGTCAGTCAGACTCCAGTTTACTGAATCAGTAACAGTTAAGTTTGTTAAAACCCTGGCAACTTGTCTCTGTGGATAGGAATACAGCTGCAAGCTGAAATATCTCAGCAATTATTGGCTGGACTGCATTGACATTTAGTACTGACATTCATGGTGCCCGGAGGATGAATCCTAATGACTTTGGTGATCCCCTGACTTTTCGGCTAGACCCATCATCAAATGGGAGATGGCTGTTTGTTTCCTCTTTCAAATTGATGGTCAGTGTTGTTCCTTTAAAGCTACTAGAGGATCTGGTTACTGCTGACATTACACAAAGCTCCAGTTCCTCCCAAATTAAAACCATATTAATTCAATAATGCTCCTTGAAGTAAAATGCTATTTTAACCCTGATAATGAAGCATGATAACAGCCTACTGAGCAAACCAGAAGATGGAGTAGGGCCTAAGAGCCCTAATAACCCAAACATCGTCAACAGCATAGAAAGGCTGTAAGGACTGTGGCAACACTCTTTAGAAAAGGGGAGTGAAAAAAGGACAACTGCCCTTGTACCCCAGCCCTCACCGAGTCCCTTATCATAGCTTGTCATCAAACACTCATATCCTCGCATTGTCCCAGAGGAAAGCTGACCTCCCAGCTGTAGATATAAAGTCGTTCCAACCCTCGTGTTCCCCTCCTCCCTCTAAGAAAGCAGGGCTATGAGGTGACAGGGCAGAAAACTCACGACATGAAAATCCTCCCTCATATCTTAAAGAGGAATAAGTGCTTTGCTCAGCCTGTCTTCATCATCTCTAGGGATTCAGCTGTGGCCCTGTGTTAGTGGATGGTTGGTGGGGTCAGGGGAAAACAGACACGGGGGTGTTTGGATATGCACAGGGTCGGGTCTGGAGAAGACAGCATGGAGATGAAGCAAAAGACCAACTCTATCCTTTCACTAACTGTGTACTTTCACTTGCTCTGTCCATCTTTCTTTGGTCCCTTCAGTCGTCTCTTTACTAGAAAACCAAGAAACACGTCCTTATTCACATCTGGACTCTAAGTCCAGAGGAATCACTCGTCACTGCTCTCATTGCTGACTGCTGTTGTTCCATCATGTCCTGGACTAAATAAGCAGTGGTGGAAAAGTAACTAACATTTAGATTTAGCACTGTACATGAATACAATTTTGAGTTATCTGTACTTTACCTGAGTATTTCCATGTCCTGCTCCTTCATCCTGTGACTCCATGTCAGAGACAAACTGTGTACTCTTTACTACACTACATGTACCTGATAACTTCAGGTCCAGAACCAGATGGATGAACCAAACCAAACCCAGTAGAACCATCAGACTCTATTGATCCCAGTAGGAAATCCACCAGCTACCCAGCAGGATGGAAAGTACTTCCCAGTATAAGTATATAAGGTAGTTACCATCAGCTCCACCTTTACCAGCTGCAGCATTAAAGTGATGGACACAGTAATTAGTCACTATGATCCAGTATCAGAGACGTTACTGGGACACGGGCCGTTCTGGAGGACGGGTACTGGTACTGATGGTACTTCATGTAGATTTGGATGCTGATACTTTAGTACTTTTATTTATAACATTTTGAATGCAAGACATTTACTTGTAACAGAGTATTTTACACAGTGATATTACTACTTTTACTGAAGTAATGGACCTGAGTACTTCTTCTACCACTGCAAACCTCATCACTCTTGATGTGCTCATAATAAAAATTGAGTTTTATTTCTGTAGAAATCAAATAAAATCACACCAAGCAACTTATAATGTCACTAGTTACATAAGATCAGGCTGTCAGACGGTGTATTTATGGTCCCAGCATGTGTAATTTTACTCTGTAGCATTTTATTGCTGCAGCTGAGGCGCAATGCAGTCATTTATATTCCTGATAGTTGAGTTTAAGGAAGTGTGTGTGTGTGTATATTGTATAAGTGCCGTGCTATTGAGGTCATCACTAACGTGATTTCCTAATCCTGAATCATTTCTGTAAATGAATGAGACTTGGAAGAACATGTTGTTATTAAGCATCCTCTCCTGACCTTTGTGTCATTGTTAGGACGTGTCTTCCTATTTGAAAATGCACTGTGCCGTGGCTGTGGGTGTGTGGTCACCTGATAGCGGTGTCATACAAATCAAATTTTATTTGTATAGTGCCAAATCACAACAAAAGTCATCTCAGGACACTTTACAAAGTAAGGTCTAGACCTTACTGTTATCACTAACGGAAGAAACCTCCAACAGACCCCGGCTCTTGGTGGGCGGCCTTCTGCCTCGACCGGTTGGGGTGAGTGGATAGAGGAGAGACAAAAGAAGAAAAGCAACAAGACACAACAATCAAACACTGATCAGGTCGATGTGGCTGGTGACTGCTCATCAGAGATGTAGAGCTCCAGGGCCAGGGCAACCTGGAGAAAGGTACAGGGAGAGAGAGAGGACACACTACGGGAGAGAGGAGACACAAAGTTGGTGATGTGTAGTGGTGGCATATAGAAGCATAGGGAGAGAGAGGGGAGGAGAGGAGAGCAGGAGGGGAGGGGAAAGGAAAGAAACTCAGAGCATCATGGGGCCCCCCATCAGCCTAGGCCTATAGCAGCATAACTAAGGGAAGGCTCAGGGTCACCTGATCCAGCCCTAACTATAAGCTTTATCAAAAAGGAACGTCTTAAGTCTAATCTTAAAGGTAGAGAGGGTGTCCGCCTCCCGAACTGAGACTGGGAGTTGGTTCCATAGGAGAGGAGCTTGATAG